CCCCGCCCCCTTACAAAGTCTGGGACGCTGTCCCCTGGGTGTGGCCCAACTTCCTGCCCTTCCGAGCCCTATCCATGGAGCCTGGCTGCGTGGGCGTGCCCTCGTGCCAGGTCGCAGGCCCGGCGCGGCCGTCTCCTTCCCGTCTTCCATCTCCGGGCCTCCCAGCCTTGTGCCTGGACGGGGATTGCCGCCGGCGGCCCTGGCACGGCTGACCACCCTCCCACTGTGGCACGACTCTCCCCTCCTCTGGGACTCCTCGCCTCCCGCCCTGCTCTTTGCTGTCGGCGGTTCTCCCGGCGTTTCGGCTCCCCCCGGCTCGCTGTGCTGCCCGGGTAAGCGTTGGGGGGTGTGGGCTCCGTTTCCCTGGCGTTGTGTTGGGGTTGGCGTCTCCGTCCGTGGGGGGGGGGTGGAGTCCTGTCCTCGGGACAATATGGATGTTGAATAACATTGGGGAGAGAATCAATTCCTGTGGCACACCACATTCAAGTGGGTGCTGCTGAGACAACTCCCCCCACAAGCGTGACCCTCTGTCCCCGATCTTGGAGAAAGGAGATCAGCCACTGTAAAGCTCACCCTCATATCCCCACATTGGCGAGGCGGTGGGTCAATAGTTTATGGTTGACCGCTGTTGACCATCGAACGCTGCTGACAGATCAAGACAAATCAGCAGCGCCGAACCACCTCGATCCAGATGTCTCCAGAGGTAATCCACTAAGGCAACCGTCTCCATCCCATGTGAAGGGCAAAAACTGGACTGGAAGGGGTCCAGGATATTAACGTCCTCCAAGAAAGCCTGAAGCTACATCACCACTGCTCTCTACACTATCTCACCCAGAAATGGTAGATTAGATACTGGGTGGTAGTTATCAAGAACCATAGGGTCCAAAGTTTTTTTTTTTTTTAAGATGAGGACGGACCACTGCCTCTTTGAGACTCCCTGGGCAGGTCCCCATTGATAAGGACAAGTTGATAATCCTCCTCAGGGAAGTTCCTACCACATCATCGCAAGCTTTAATTAGCCACGATGGGCACGGATCAAGAGGGCAAGTAGTAGGTTTCACAGCTGCTAAGGTCTTGTCAGTTGTATCCTGGGTGAGCAGATTGAAGTGGTCCAGGACTGGACCCATAGATGTACAAGGGACTTCCAGTTCCCTTACTGTATCAAGGGTGGCTGGGAGGTCATGGCAGAATGTCAAGACTTTATCAGCAAAATGGCTCACAAGTGCCTCACAGCCTATCGCCAGTTCCCTAGCATTTGGAGTGCCCTGAGGCAGAGTAGTCAAAGACTGAATTATTCTAAATAATTGGGCCGGGCGCGAGCTTGCAGACATAATGGAGGCCACATAGAAATCCTTCTTAGTGGCCTTCAGCGCCATCTCATAGGTTTTCATAAACGACCTATAGGATGTTCTTGTAGCTTCATCACAGGCTCGTCACCACCTTCTCTCTAGCCATCTTGGCTCCCATTTCATCTGCCTCAGCTCCGGGGAATACTACGGAGCTAATTTGGTGCAGGGTCGAAGAGGGCACCGGGGAGCTACCTCATTGATGGCTTCGGAAAGATGGTTTTGCCAATCTTCCACCAGCTCATCCAGTGAGCTGCTGGGGGAATCGGATCCCGCAGAGCTTCCTCGAACCTACTCGGGTCCATTTGATTCCATTGGTGAACATAAGTCCGCTCGCTGCCCAAACAGGAGGGGTTAGGAGTATTCAGTTGGGCCTCCAGGACAAAATGGGCACTGCATCTGCAGTGATCCGGTCCTCTGTAATCCCTGAGGCAAAGATAAGATCCGGCATGTGGCCTGCTTGATGTGTGGGAGCCAAAACAAACTGGGTGAGTCCCAGTGCCGCCATGGACGACACTAGATCCATGGCCTGAGAGGAACCAGCATCATCAGCATGGACGTTAAAGTCGTCCAAGACCAAAAGTCTAGGATACTCTAGTGCCCAGCCCGATATGGCTTCCAATAGACCTGGCAGGGCATTTGCTAGTGTGCTGGGTGGACGGTACACCAGCCAAATGGCTGAAATTTCTTCGGCTTCCCACATCAGACCCACACATTCAATGTTGACAATATTTGCCTCAGGGAATGCCCTGAAGGAGAAAGCCTCCCACACCCAGTTCTCTGTCACGCACACCAGGTCTGCCGCCTCCTCCACCAGATAATTCTGGGGGACAGAGATCTTATTATTGATAGACCTGGTGTTACACAACACCAGTGTCGGAGAAGGGTACCTCTTTCTATTCCCACAGCCAGCATCTCTCCAGATGGGATGAAGGTTAGAAGAAGATTGAGCATTCCTGTATATGTTGTCGAAGGCTTTCACAGCTGGAGTTCATTAGTTGCTGTAGAATTTCCAGATTGTGTGGCCGTGGTCTTGGCATTGTAGAATCTGATGTTTCACCAGTAGCTGTGATTGGCATCCTCAGAGGTATAACACAAAAAGATGGAGTACTCTCTGTGTCAAGGTGAGAAGAAAAATGGTAGGCAGGTAATTTATATCTACTCCAGGAGGTGGGTAGGGCTGAGTCATTATCTTGTAGGATACATTCCTGTATCTCTCTCTCCTTTTTGTATCTCCCTCCTACTTGTTGGTCTTGAAGGTGCCACTGGACTCAAACTTTGTTACGCTGCTTCAGACCAAACATGGCTATCCACCTAAATCTATTACAGTCAGGGGTCATTTCATAGAAAAAGAGGTTCAGGAGCTCATTAGCATAACTCATTAGCATAACTTATTTGCATATGCCACACCCCCTGACATCACTGGAAGTGTGTCAGAAGGCAACACCCACTGCTCAGGCTCCACTGGACTGTTTTGGATTGCTAGCTATTGGGGGGGGGGGAGTGCAGATCTGTCCTCGCAGCGGAGGGAGAGCTTGTACCTGAATAAAACTTGGTCTTAAAGGTGCCACTGGACTGTTTTGGACTGGGGGGCCGGGGGGAGCTCTGCAACTCATCTGGCTGCTTCTTGCTCTGAGGGCTGCTGAGAACAGGGGGTGGGGCTTGTTGCATGTACCCGCCCCCTGGGCTCTTTACTGCCGGAGCTCCACTCCTGTGCGCTCCTGCAGGAAATGACCCCTGATTACAGTCACCAGTTTGACATTTGCCATCTTAATTATAAAGTCTTGCACATTATATAGAATGCTTGACATAAACACACGTGAATTAGTGGAATAGTAAAGGCTTTTGTTGGATAATAGCAACCTAACTTTTGTGGTGATTGTGACTTTCCTTTTTGCGTACACTCTATAAAGTAGGTTGAAATTCCAGCTCTGACAGATTTAGTTCTTTACTGTTCTGAATTTTTAATAAGGTTTACCAGTTCAAAGCATAGTATGTAGTTTGTAGTGGACAACTGCATGGCTTCTCTGAAAAAAATCAATAATGGTTGATTTATAGGGAGGGGGAATTGTATACATCTGCAGGCCTGACCATTCCTGGGAATGCACTTGGGAATTTGTCACAATCATGAAAATTGTTGTTGGCCATATATGAGGGTGATACCACAGCTCACTGTCCAAATGCATACCCAAGTATGGGTGAGGCTATTCAGATGTACAAACTATACTATCATGTGAAGTGATTTTAAGACAATAAATTTAGGGAAATGGATATTCAAATATAAATATGTACATTTAATTTTAAGCGGAATCTGAAATAACCAAATCATGAGAAAAAAGAAGCAGAGAAGTTAAGCAATACAGGCAACATTAGAGAGCAAATGCTGAAGAAAACTCTCGAATTTAATGTGAAGAGAGGATTATGCTGGATACATTAGCTGTACTGGTGGTTTCATTCACAAATGGTAATGTTGATCTCCATGTCATAGAAATTTTCACCTGCTGATTTCTGCATATCAGCTGGCTGTTAAAGACACAAGAATAGGCTAGGCCTTTTTCCCCCCTGGCTACTTGTCGACTCTATCTGTATGGTGGGAGGAGGGAAGGAAGTGTGGTCAAGAGAATGATGGATACATGAAATCGGAAAGAGACAGCAATCATGAGCACACTTGCTAGGAAGTAAACCCCACTGAGCCAATGGCACTTACTTATGAATAGTGGAAATGCTTAAGGTTCCAGTGAAAGTAGGCACTGGTAAGTAATGTCCTGAAAAGTAAACATCTGCCAGACATATATGAAGTGGAAGAAATGCAGATCCAAAGAGAAAGTAGGATTGGGGCTGAGCAATAGTGACAGGAACGAAATGGTCTGGGAAAGGTGGCAAATGTTGTCCATGCATGTAGGACATGTGGCTTCTAATGTCACTGACTCTTCATTACCTGGCAAACCTAAGGAGGCTAGAAAGGCCAGAATAGGCAACACTGATAGTAAGATAGTAATTTCATCAATTTTCAGTGTGATCCTAATAAGAGTTATACCAGAGGTGTCGAACTCATTTGTTACGAGGGCTGGATCTGACATAAATGTCACTTTGCTGAGCCAGGCCATGTGTGCCATAAAATGTAATGCCAGGTCAATTTGGCTAACAACCAGAGATATAAACTGAATAAAGGACAGCATCTGATAAACTTTGAGTTTTTATATCCTCACTGCAAGGCCCTGTGGGCTGGGAAGGGGGTGCAAAGGAAAACACATATGGGTAGACTGGAGAGCCAGATATTCCCACACTGCTTGATTGCTGCAGACAAGATTTTTTTGCCATGCTGAAGTTACAATCGGAGTGGCTCTGCCTACTTCCCCCCAAGCAGTCTCCTGTTCCTTCCCTTGCACCAATTGCTCATGGGCCACATAAGAGCCCTGGGTGGGCCTGGCCCCCGGGCCTTATGTTTGATACCTCTGAGTTATATACCCTTCTATTGATTTTAATTGATTTAGAAAGGTGTAACTGTACTTAGGATGCCCCTGTGAATTCACTAACCCAACCCATGTATTTTGAATCTGATTTTGACTGAGGGATTGCAGAAGAGTTACCCAGCAAAAAAATTACTTGTTTGTGAATCTTTCTTCTTATATAATGGCTTTATTTTTCTTCTAGGTTTGTTGGAGGAGAGCTGAATATTTGCTATAATGCTGTAGATCGCCATGTTTTGAATGGACAAGGAGACCAGATTGCTATTATCCATGACAGTCCTGTAACAAATACTAAAGAGGCTATAACTTACAAAGAAGTTCTTGAACAGGTATGTTTCATGGATATGTTCAACAAGCAAATGCCAAATGAAATGGGAAGAACTTCTTATAATATATGAGTAAAATTCCAGATATAGGGAATACATTTTTTCTTTCTATATACCAGAGAGTCTTAGATAAGAATCCTGTGTCCCTGTTCAGTGCTGCTGGGTCCATTGTTCTGAATTTGTGAATGAACTGCATGACGTCTCTTCTTGATGTTTCTTTGTCCGAGTATCCCGGCTAGCAGGCACAACAGGCACTGGAGCAGGGAGACAGAGACAGAGCAGTCCAAAAAGCAAAGACAGAGCCATTTCAAGGGTCGGTAATTCATTAGGTGCAGACAGGTCTGAGAAGCAGAATCCAAAGCAGTCCAGATAACAAAGTCCAAGGTCAGTCCGTAAATCACAAGGAGCAAGGCAGAGTTGTGGTCACTGGCTTCACACATGTGAAACTCATTGCTTCCACGGCTGGGAAGGCATGCCAGCTTGGTTTAAATAAGCCTCTCATAATAAGCTGAGTTAAGCAAGGCAAGATCTTGCAATCCATTAAACGCAGGCATTGAGCCAAGAGTCTCGTGCTGCGCCTCCGCTCTGTAAGTTGCCGGCAAGATCATTCCTGGCATTGCTCTGCTGGGGGGGGGGCAGAATCTGATGAGCTGTCTTGCCCCAGCTGGTCTTCATTGTCCCCTCCCATGGTCTGTCTGGAGGAGTCAGCCTCAGCTGTCAGTGGTGCATCATGGAGCTCTTGGCTTTCCTCAGCTGCTTCTTGGGAGCTGGGCCCAGGCTCTGTGACACTTGAGGAGTTTTCTTCCAGGCTGAGTTCCGACTGGTCAAGCTGGTCGGCAACACTGAGGACTGTTCCTCTTAGGTCAGCACTAGAATGTCAGGGAAAATTAAAATGATCTCCCATGGGTTTTGGGTGTTGTCATTTTTGATGTCAGATTTATGTCTATTTACTGTTTTGCATAGGGACTGACCTGTTTGTCCAATGTAGAATGTAGAAGGGCATTGTTTACACTTGATGGTATATATAACGTTGGAAGATGAGCAAGTGAATGAACCTGAGACAGTATGGCTGGTGTTGTTAGGTCTGGTGATTGGGTTGTCAGAGTGCATATGGGGACAGAGTTGGCCCTGGTCCCAGAGTCTGTGTTGGGAAGTGCATTGTTGTGGGTGAGAAACTGTTTAAGGTTTGGGAGAAGAAGAAGAGATGGATTTGTACCCCACCCTTCACTCAGAGTCTTGGAGAGGCTTACAGCCTCCTTCCCTCTCTCCCTCCTGTGAGGTAGGTAGGGCTGAGAGAGCTCTGAGAAACTGCTCTTGGGAGAACAGGTCTGAGAGAACTGTGACTGACCCAAGGTCACCCAGCTGGCTGCATGTGGAGGAGTGGGGAATCAAACCCAGCTCTCCAGATTAGAGTCCACCGCTTTTAACACTACACTAAATGCTGCCTGTGGGCAAGAAAATACCAATACCTGTGAGAGAGGGGTATCATTGTCCAGCATAGGTTGGAGGTCATTAATGATGTGTTAAGACGGTTTAAGCTGAGAGCTGTATGTGACTATCAGTAGTATTCTGTTGTTGTTTAATTTGGATCTGTCTTGGAGCAGTTTATCTCTTGGTATATTTCTGGCTTTGTGATCTGTTTCCTTACTTCATCAGGTGGGTATTGTAATTCCACAAATATCTGTTGTAGATCCCACAGTTGAGAATATCTGTCAGAGGTGTTGGAACAGATGTGGCTGTGGCATAGAGCTTGGCTGTAGACAGTGGCTTGTTTGGTGTGTTTAGAATGGTGACTAGAGGCATATAGATCTGGTGATCAGTAGCTTTTCAGTATAAGGTGGTTCTTATTCTTTCATTATGTATTTGTACCATGTTACCCCTACCAGTTTAGATTTAAGAAGCTGAATTGCTGCCTTCAGTTTCTTGGGGGAATTTAGCAAAATGGCCGGGCTCAGCGAGAGATGGGGTATTAAGTGAGATCTGGGTACCAGTGTTTTACAGAGATCTTTCCCTTTAAACACTTTTTTGGAGCCAAGAACCATGCCAATATTAAGAAGGAATATGTTTATTGTAGAAAAATAACAGAATTTAAATATATACACACAGATTGAAGAGCATATACACAAGATACTGGAAAAAAGTGGTAGTGGACAGATAGAAGGGAATGGGGAGTTTTTGGGGTGATGTGTAACTGATCTTGAAGAGCTGGCTAAATAAAGGCTGAGGTTCTGGAAAAGGAGGTATGTGACAGCGACCAGCGTGCCATGCACAAAGGCCTGTTATGTATCGGGGTGATAGCTTTTCTGGGCTCCCAAGTTCTATCACATTGGGCATGTGGCGGACTGGGTATATTTATATCCCAAAATGTATCCTGAGGGTATGTTGACATAGATGAGCTAGTGTGATAGTGGTGTGATGGGATTCATGTTGCTGCACAAAAGAAGTGTCTGGAGTTTCCCAAGTACTCTCACAAAAGGTGAGATGTTTTCTAATAGGTGTGAGAATGAGGCTAGATGGCGATTATTCAGTAGAATAATCCTTCCTGAAACCTTACTCCGATGTTTTTGCTGGGGGATAGTAAGAAGTATCGTTTTATTTCCATCTGGCTCTTGGCAGCAGTGAGTGGCCTGCACCCCACTTGCACGACCGCGGAGTTTCCTGCTTCTCCTGCTGGCTGGCAGCTACCTGAGGTTGTCTTTTCATCTGTTGGAGCTGGTGCCGCTTTGTGGGAGTTACTGAGTGCCTTGTCGGCACCTCCGATGGAAGCCTCTCGCCTGACAGCAGCGGCGAGGGGGGAAGGATCCCCGGGTGGACTTGGCATGGGAAGGCAGCCAAGCCCAGAGGTTCTCCCCAGCCCATAATTTCTGCATTTCAGACCTACATCTTTGGAGCCCAGTGCTGCAAGTTGCTGTGAATCAAAGTCTGCCAGTCTCCTTTTAGATTTTTTTTGGTGGGAAGTGGAAAGAGTAGTTCCATGAAGATAAATTCTGCTCACAGTGCTTTGGACATAAACAAGGAAGTTAAATTATGAACTATGAAACAGAAAAATGGAGCTGACATTTTCTTTAATTAGAATGTTGGTTGGTCTCTGAATGATATGCATATATAAATCCTTTACACTGCAATCCTAAACAGACTTATACCTACTGAAGTAAAACACTTTCCTGGGAGTAAGCTCCATTGACGAGACCTGCATAATATCCTGAGCACACCTATTTCAGATGGTTTTCTTAGTCTCTAATATACCTTTTTTCAAACAAAGATTCCTATTTTCCTGTTTTTCTGGTTGTTCAGCATCATAAAACTCTGTTGTTTTATGCTGCTGACTGCAATTTAGTGCACTCAGTAAAATATGTGTACTTAAATTTCAAAATGAATATGTCCACTAATAGATGTACAGGTGTTGAAGCCCCCTTCTATATTGCACCTGTACGATTGATTTCAGAAATGTTGCCATCTTGTTTTGTTACTCATGTGCTAGTCCCATTTCTAAACGCCTTAGAGGTGATTTCTTCGGCTGGAGATAATACAGCACTAGATATGCCAAGAACTTCATGTGAAAGTGCCAGAATTGGTATTCTCTCATGTATTTTTTAAGAAGTGGAACTTGTGCTATGAGCACATTTCTGTGAGTCACCGTGAGCTGCCAGCCCCTGCAAGCAGCAGCTTATTTGTATATGGTCTATATGGAGGATGAAGCTGAGAGAGTAAAATGTTCAAATGTGAGCTGACAGCTGAAAGTGACATTTGAGTGTCTTTCCCTTGAGGACTATATGGGGTATCCTTCTGTTCAAACCTGTATTTGTGAGTACTGAACCAGTAGTCAAAGAAGATGAGCAGAAAACAAATTTCGTTACAAAACACACATTTTTATTTTACAAGCGTTTGTTCTCCAGCTATAATAGCCCTCAAAATGTCTTGGCCTTCATCTTGCACTTCACTGCTTCTTGCTGCCTCATCTTTAGAATAAAGTTGTGGTTATTCAGTAATGAAGAAGGGAATGAACTCAGAAGAGGGAATACGGTCCACCATTTCTATTTTGTATTGAATAAATGTAACCTTGTATACTACTTTTGATTTTGATAGCTACCTTGAGCAGAAAGGCAGGATTCCAATTTAATAACTAAATTGTTGAAAGATTACTGCAGTTTTATTGTGTTGTGAGAAATAACAGATTTGTTTTAATGTGTATGTGAATTGAACACCAGGCACTTTTAATTAGAGTCTTCATTTCCATCAAAGCCCTCAAACTGAACCCAAACTAGGTTGCTGCTGCTTATCATAGACTATCTGGATTATGTAAATACAAGTGGGGACCAGAAAGAAACTTGCTAGGAGGTGGCATCCCATTCCTCTGCCATCTCTTTCTTCCCTCTCCCCCCTTCTCTGTCAGTTTTTCTTCACCCCTCTCTTTCTCCTCCCACTCCTCCTCTGGCAGCCTTCCCCCATCTGTCTTTCTTCTCCCACCCTCCTCATTTTCAGCACCCCCCCAGTTGACCCCCCCCTCCATTGGCTATGCCACAGCTTCGGCTGCTGGGCTTGGCTGTGCTGGGGCTGACTCTCTGGTCCGGCCTGGATCTCCCCTTGGGCTGCTGGGGCTGGTTTCTTCTTGGGGTTGACCTTGCTCTGGGAGCCACAGTGGCAAGGTCTCTGGGAGCTGCTGTGCTGGCAGTAGGGCCTCATGCTGGTGATGGTCTCTTTGTCATAAACTGTGGTGAGGCCTCTGGGAGCTGCCCTGGCAGCAGCCTTGTTGTCAGGAGCTGTGCCAACCATGATGAAGATGGAGGAGGTTGCCTGGAGGTCAGCAGCATTTGGCAAGTTGTCTGCACTTGCAGGGACAACATTATAATTGGGAGGTGATTTAAAAAGTTGTTGGATTTTTCTGCAAACCTGGGGTTCCCCAAGTGTGCAGAACTGTCTGTTTTCTTTCAGTGTGGCCCTGATTTGCATATTTAAGTATTTGCAGTTGGGCCCACATGAGTATTAGAAAATTACATGGCCCTACATGGCCAGGGACCGCCTTTCCCCATACAGGCCCCAAAGAGCACTTCGGTCGGGGCCACAACACCGCCTAGTGACCCCGGGACCTAAAGAGGCCAGGCATGCTGCCACAAGGGCCAGGTCCTTTTCGGTGGCGGCTCCTACCTGGTGGAATGAGCTCCCGGAGGAGATCAGGGCCCTGCGGGACCTTTTACAGCCTGCAAGACGGAGCTCTTCCGCCAGGCTTTTGAGTAGGAGCTGCCGCCGCCACTATTACCACCATCGTGTACTGCAGAGCAGTGCCGTCGTGGTGGGCTGATTAGCCATCTGGGACATCTCAGCCTATGGCACCCCCCCCTTTCTTCTGACCTCACTGTGATATATAATAATGAGTATTTTAATTACCGATGCATCCTGTAGGATTGAATTGTGTTTTAAGTGGTTAATTATGTAATTTTATCGCACTTTGGGTGCCTAAATTGCTTTAATCGTGTTATGTTTTATTGCATTACTGTGCCTATGTAAGCCGCCCTGAGCCCGCATGCGGGGAGGGCGGGGTATAAATGAAATAAAATAAATAAATAAATAAAATTAAATAGCTGACATTATTTTGAATGCTGTTGTATACATGATATTGTACACTCCCAGGCCTGTAATACAAATGTGGGGTTGTTGGTATAATGAACCCCCTTCCCTGAAACAATCCATAAGGAAGCTAGATACGTGGGGAAATGAGATCCTGGTCTACCACTTGGAGTAGACCACAAATGAAATTTTATTAAAGTTCATTGTATATACACACATATTAGCAGGATGAGCTTCCTGTTCATTTGTCCCCAGTCTCAGCAGCTACTACTATAGGACAGCTGCAGATCAGAATTCACTATTGGTAGGGATTTATTTCTACAGAACGAAACACTGCCAAATGCATTAATGCCTTTGTTTTTACCTTTTACTCCAATTTTGTGTAGCTCTGCTGATTACTTGTGGAAGATTTGTGCAATAAATTCTTTTTTATTAATTAAATATTACTGATTCCACAACATGTTTTAAATAAAATGCGTTTTCAGATAATTTGGGTCTTCTTTTATCAAGCTGCTATATGAACTATCTCTAAGTAACTTTTAAATATTACACATACAGGTGTCCAAGCTGGCTGGAGTCATGGTGAGCCATGGTGTGAAGAAAGGGGATACTGTTGTCATCTACATGCCCATGATTCCACAGACAATGTACACTATGTTAGCATGTGCAAGAATAGGAGCTATACATAGCCTCATTTTTGGTGGGTTTGCTTCAAAAGAGCTGTCTGCTCGCATTGATCATGCCAAGGTAAGAAGCATTTTTATTCAAGTTTTCAAAGGGACAAATTTTGTTTTGGAGACCTATAAATAGCTTCTTGCCTCCAGTCAGATAGGCAGGAAATTATAAATATATGTAGACATTTCTTTGACACTATTGATATGTTTCAGATAGCTACTATATTCTCTAAAACACTTTCATTGGACATTTTTGTGGGTTAATAGCATGTGTAGACCTATATGCCGAAAGGTATAGGTTTAATTGCTTATCTGAGGGATTTATCACTCAACTAATATTTTCTATTATCTTGCCTGTCATGTAATTTGGGGAAAGGTGGAAAGGAAAGATTTACCCAACTGAATGCAGATTTCCAGAGAACAGCAAGGAGAGATAAGGAAGCCTTCCTGAATGAACAAGGCAAAGTAATAGAGGAAAACAATAGAATGGGAAGGACGAGAGATGTCTTCAAAAAATTGAAGAAATCAAGGGAACGTTCCGTGCAAAGGACCATGTTAAAGGACAAAAATGCTAGGGACCTAACAGAAGCAGAAGAGATTAAGAAGAGATGGCAAGAATACACAGAAAAACTATACAAGATGACCTTGACAACCATGATGGTGTGAACATTGACCTCGAGCCAGACATCCTGGAGTGCGAAGTCAAATGGGCCTTAGAAAGCATTACTAACAACAAAGCTAGCAGAGGTGACGGTATCCCAGCTGAGCTATTCAAAGTCTTAAAAGATGATGCTGTTAAAGTGCTGCGCTCAATATGCCAGCAAACTTGGAAAACACAACAGTGGCCACAGGATTGGAAAAGGTCAGTTTACATTCCAATCCTAAAGAAGGGCAATGCCAAGGAATGTTCAAACTATTGCACAATTACACTCATTTCACATGCTAGCAAGGTCATGCTCAAGATTCTACAAGCTAGGCTTCAGCAGTATGTGGATAGAGAATTACCAGAAGTACAAGCTGGGTTTCAAAGAGGTAGAGGAACTAGAGATCAAATTGCCAACATTCGCTGGATTATGGAGAAAGCAAGGGAATACCAGAAAAACATCTACTTCTGCTTCACTGACTACACTAAAGCCTTTGATTGTGTGGATCACAACAAACTGTGGCAAGTCTTGAAAGCGATGGGAGTACCATGTTAGCCAAATTGCCTTGATTTATAAATGTGGGGAATATGGATATTAAAAGGCAATAGGCATTAAATATAGGATCAGACCTGTGTATACCGGAGTCCCACTTATCCAGATCCTAGAAATAGATGCTGAGACTAGATTTTAAAAAGCAGTGATTTCTTTTACAAAAGGATTATCACACATATAAACATAAAATCAAGCATTCACACACACAATACAGAACTAAGAAACCAGAGGTGGTTGATAGCTGATAGAGGGGTCAGTTATGGGGTGATACTACCTGTCCAGATGTGCAGAGGTCCATGAAGAAAGGATTATGGCCTAAACCCAAACCAATTTGTGCCTGCCGCCATTAAAGTTTTTAATACTAAAATTTGAGCCCAAGTTCTCTATGGTGTTCCTATATGGTTCAGTGCTTTTAACTGTGAAGTTGAATCAATTCAATCATCCTTTTTTAGAAAAATTATGGGTTTCCCAAACTGTGTTTCTTACCATGCATTGTGCTCTGAATTAGGACTTAATTTGATTGAAACCAAGACATGGGTGCTAACGGTCCGTTACTGGCTTAAATTGTATTTTAACATGGATGATGGTTCGCTTTTGTCCTTTTTGTTAAAGGAAATTCATAGTACCTCTTAGGACTTGAATATTCGATCCAAAATAACATCTTTGGGCCTCTCCTTGGAGGAGTTAGCTTTCTCCTCTGAAGTGTATATTTTTAATACAATCAAACAGAGGCTTTTAGAGTATGACAAAGATGTATATTGTCATCCTGCTTATTTAATTTATATGCAGAGTACATCATACGAAATGCCAGCCTGGATGAATCACAAGCCGGAATTAAGATTGCCAGGAAAAACATCAACAAACTCAGGTATGGAGACAATACCACTCTAATGGCAGTAAGTGAAGAGGACCTAAAGAGCTTCTTGCTCAGGATGAAAGAGGAGAGCGCAAAACTTGGCTTGAAACTCAGCATCAAAAAAACTAAGATCATGGCATCTGGCCCCATCACTTCTTGGCAAATAGAAGGGGAAGCCATGGAAGCAGTGATACACTTCACGTTCCTGGGATCCAAGATCACTGTAGATGGTGACTGCAGCCATTAAATTTAAAGAAGCCTGCTACTTGGGAGGAAAGTTATGGCAAACCTAGACAGCATAATAAAAAGTAGAGACATCACTCTGCCAACAAAAGTCTGTATGGTCAAAGCACTGGTATTCCCAGTAGTGTTGGAGCATAATGAAGGCCAAGTGCCGAAGAATAGATGCTTTTGAATTATGGTGCTGGAGAAGACTCTTGAGAGTCCCTTGACTGCAAGGAGATCAAACCAGTCAGTCCCAAAAGAAATTAACCCTGACTCTTCCCTCGGCAGCCAGATACTGAAGCTGAAGCTCAAATACTTTGACCACCAAATGAGAAGGGAGCACTCACTGGAGAAGACCCTGATGCTGGGAAAGATTGAAGGTCAAAGAAGAAGGGGACAGCAGAGGACGAGATGGTTAGACAGTGTTATCAATGCAACGAACATGAAATTAAGCAAACTCTGGAGGATGGTGAAAAAAAGAGGGCCTGGTGTGATGTGGTCCATGAGGTTGCGAAGAGTCAGAGTCAACTGTGCGACTGAATAACAACAACAGAGAGTTCTGACACATACTGAATCTTGCTGTGATGTAGAATAAGTTACACTCAAGTAAGCTTCCTTAGAAAATAACTGTAGGGCAGTGCACACTTTCTCCCTAGCTAGTAGAGGATGCTTGTGGTACTACACATGATACTCTGAAACAGCAGGTTCATGTGCAAGCTGCCCTAGGCTGGAGCTGGATGAGGCATAGGTGCATTTTCGTGAGCTTCTTGGCCATTTGGTTGGTTGTCCAAACTCCCTCTCCTCAGTATTCCTAGAGGACTTGGAATACAAAAACAGGTATACAGACAGTTCTGTGTATGAGCCATGGTGTTCCCTTACTATGTGTTCAGGTTGTTTGTGTAATCCAGCCTATGCACCAGAGATATTCTTGTCCCTCTTGTCTCTCCTGTCTTTTCAAGTCTTAAAAGTGTTTGTTTTTGAGCACTGCTGCTTGTCTTATAACTGGGTGTAGAATCTTTCCCCAAATATAAGTCCTTGTTGTATGTTTTCCCGCTGGCTTTTGGATCATGCAGGTGTGTAGCTACACAGCTTCTTGTTGATAAAGGTTGCACATTCCTTTTCCTGCTTCTCTTTCCCTTTCAGATTTGTGCTTGTCCTTGGTGTGCTCTGCACCTGTGAGCTTTTGCCTGCCCATGACTACCGCTGATTTATGAGCTGTTGGAACCTGTGGCCCATCACTGCTTTTTTCACCTTTTGAATTCTTTGCTGCCGGTGCACTTAGATCCCTGATGATTCTGCATGGATCAGTAGCTAAACTCACCGCTGGCCTATTATGCACTCAGAGCTTACTGCTGATTTTCACTGAAGTCAAATTGGTAGGGCTTTACTTCAAATGCTGTGCCTGCACTCCAAACCTTTTTTTCCTTCTCATTTTTTATTTGGGAATCACGGAATATATATTTTGCAAATGAATGAGAAACTGCGCCTCACCGAAATGTTCTTGTTTTTTTTGTGCAGTGTGGTTGCTCTCTCCTTTTTGGTCAGTTTGGTGCTGGGCATGTTTCTTGAAATAGGAGATTCTTCAATCTGTATTTACTCGCAAGTAAATACAGATTGAAGGTTAGTGGTTCTGACCCCTTCATTGCTCTACAAGCTCCACTATTAGGTTTTCCATCTTTTAAATTTTGGTTTTTTTTTTAACAAAGGGGTTCATCTTTGAGAGACAGTGGCATACACTCCAAGCAATGAAGGAAGGGAGGGGGTGAATGAGTGAGTGGCTGGGCGTGTCCCCCAGCATGCGACTAACACCAGCAATGCATGGATTTCCATCTGGGTTCTGATCTGCTGCCCCTCACTCATGCACGGCCTTCCTGCATCGGCCACAAGTCAGACAGACTGTTGAGCTCATTCAACCACTTGTGATGTATTCTTCCTTGCCAGATCAGAGCTAGGAGATAAGAAGCAGAACAAATAGAAACCACAGAGAGCATTCCAGTGCAGTCACTTATATTGGATCAGTACTGTCTTATTGATGACATGGAATCATACACCGGCTGGCCCCTGCCCCAGCTGTTCTTCCCATGTAGGGGCTGGAGGCAGAAGGTCCCAGGTTCAGTCTCAAGCATCTTCACTTAGAAGTATCAGGTCCTTGGGGAAGGGGAAATGCCTGCCCCAGAAAGCCCCAAAGGCATCAGACAATCTAAGAAGTCAGGCGGGCCCTCAGGTGCCAAAGCAGTGACAGAGGCGCTTGCAAGCTGTGAGCAGCAGGCAAGTCAGAAGGGTGCACAGAAGCAGCAGGACGAGGAGCAGGGTGGGGCATGCTGCACTCAGGACACTGGGCTGGGATCTGCAGTGGGAGGCTTGGCTGCGCAAAGCACCTCTCTCTGTGCAAAATGCATGTGAGATGAGTCCTCCCCCTTCACACCTGTAGAGCCACTTGACAGGAAGGAAGAGCTGGCCAGCATGGATCTCTCGCTGGTTTCCCCCCCTGAGAGGATGTGGGAGAGGGTTCAGACTGTGCAAAGGGAGGGAAGGAAATGAAGTGTGTGTGTGGGGGCTTGCTCCTTGCCTGCCTTCCTCCCTGTTGACTGCTGTGTGACAGGACAGGCCCAGGAAGCAACAGCCACTGCCGCCATGGACTGCGTGGGGGCCTTCTCCTCTCTGCCGCTGCTGCTGACGGAGCAGCATCTGGGCCCCTTGCTGTCCCAACTCCTAAGGTGGCCGAGGAGGAGGACAAAGAAGAGGATTCACCCCTGTTGCGGACCTTGGTGCCCCACTTCTCCCCGTTGCCATGAC